TTTTTTTTTTTTGCAGTTTTTGGCTGGGGTTGGGTTTGAACCTGCCCACCTCCAGCATATGGGGCTGGCACCCCACTCCTTTGAGCCACAGGCGCCTCCCAATAGTGTATTTATTTTTTTAATTTTTTTTTTTTTTAAGAGACAGAGTCTTACTTTGTTGCCCTCGGTAGAGTGCCGTGGTGTCACAGCTCACAACAACCTCCAGCTCTTGGGCTTAGGCAATTCTTTTGCCTCAGCCTCTGGGTAGCTGGGACGACAGGCACCAACCACAACACCCGGCTATTTTTTTTTTTTTGCATTTTGGCCAGAGCCGGATTCGAACCCTCCACCCTCAGTATATGGGGCCAGTGCCCTACTCACTGAGCCACAGGCACTGCCCTCTTTTAAAAATAATTTTGAAAATTTGGTTTTGGCAGCAAGTTAGATGATTCAGAAAAAACTGAGAGAACTAATGTAGTATAGTTTTAGTGATAAGTAGATTATCATTCATTACATATAATCTATTTTTAAAAAACTTTTTATGTATTTATTTTTTTGAGACCATCTCAAGCTGTCGCCTGGGTAGAGTGCTGTGGCATCATAGCTCACAGCAACCTCCAACTCAGGCTCAAGTGCTCCTCTTGCCTCAGTTTTTCTATTTTTAGTAGAGATGGGGTCTCGCTTTTGCTCAGACTGGTTTTGAACTTGTGAGCTCAAGCAATTCACCTGCCTTGGCCTCTCAGAGTACTAAGATTATAGGTTTGAGCCACTGTACCCAGCATAAAACTTTTTATTTTGAAATATTTGACTTACCAGGTGGCACCTCTGGCTCAGTGAGTAGGAGGCTGGCCCCATATACCGAGGGTGGCAGATTAAAACCCGGCACTGGCCAAACTGCAACAATAAATAGCCAGGTATTGTGGCAGGTGCCTGTAGTCCTAGCTACTCAGGAGGCTGAGGCAGGAGAATCGCCTAAGCCCAAGAGCTGGAGGTTGCTGTGAGCTTTGATGCCATAGTGCTCTACCAAGCACAAAAAAAAATAAAAATAAAAATAAATAAATAAATATTTGACTTACCAAAAAGGTACAAGCATAGTCCAAAGAATTCTCATTTGAGAGAAAGTTACAGATGTGATGCCTCCTTAACCTTAATATTTCAGTATGTATTTCCTAAAACAAAGGCATTCTCTTAAAATACAGTAGAACAATCAAAATTGAGAAATTAACTTGGATAAAATACTATTATCTAATCTACCAACTTTATTCATATTCTTACCGGTTGTCTTTTTAAATCCTTTGTAGCAAAAGAAAAAAATGTTCTGGTTCAGGAACATTCATTGCATTAATTTATTTATCTAATTAGTTAGTTAATTATTTTTGAAACAGAGTCTCACTCTGTCAGAGTGCAGTGGTATGATCATAGCTCACTGAAGCCTCAAACACTTCAGTCTTTTTTGTTGAGACAGACTCTCAAGCTGTTGCCCTGGGTAGATTGCTGTGGCATCACAGCTCACAGCAACCTCCAACTCCTGGCCTCAAGTGATCCTCCTACCTTAGCCTCCCAAAGTGCCAAGTGCTAGGATTACAGATGTGAGCCACTGAGCTCAACTTATTCGTTGCATTTTATTGTTATTTATCTTTAATTTCCTTTAACTTGGAACAATTTCTTTCATCTTTCCTTATCTTTAATGATCTTAGCATTTTTGAATGGGTATGGTCTAGTGATTTTTGTAGAATGTTCCTCACTTTGAGTTTGTCTGTTTCCTCATAATTAGATTTAGGTTACGCATTTTTGCATAGCATATCACAGAAGGAAAGTTGTGTGACCCTCTCAGTACATCCATACATTTTTGTGCTATTTCCCTTTGTAATCATTAGGCATTTTATGGTGAGATACTTTGATATTATATCCTGCTTAATGTCTATTAATGTGTTTTATCTTAGTTATTACTATGGAGGTTTGACAAAGAGATTGAAAAAAAGATGTACTCCATCTACAAAGATAGAATGGAAATCTTTATAGAAAGGCACATAGATGTTACCAGAGAATGTGTTCTAGCTGGTAGCTGAGATGGTCTAACCCCATTCTCTTTCACTGGGGTTGGGTAAAACACAACAGGCTATGTGGCTATATTAAAAACAGAACAAAAAAACTCTACACAAAACTATTGACCCAGTTAGATAGAACTCCATGCTCTGACTTCTGCAAAAGGCATCTCCTTTCTTCAGGCTCCCATTCCAACCCCAGGCTATGATAATAGACCTGCAGAAAGCTGCAGAGGTGATGCTGGCTGCTGGGAAGATGAATGCAGAGACTCCCCAGTCAAGGAGCTGGCTATGTTTCCTTCACAATAAAAAATAGACCCAGCTACTTTAGAAAATTTGATTTTTCAACTCAAACTAGGGCTTTTTAACCTTAATGGAGCTTTCTGAACCAAATATGACTTTCTGAATTAGTTTATCCCGTGTAGGCAAGATGGTGAAGGAAATAGTTAGCTCACAGAGAAGACTGCCATGGGGCAGAGGCCCTCCATGTCTGGGCCTGGACGGTATTTGGTTAGGAAGCCTTATCCCTGCCACTGCTGTTGTGGCCTACACTTGAAAAGACTAAGGAAGCTTTTCTTCACATAGATTTTTCTCCCCCAAAGCTCAGAGTAATGAGTTGCTTTTTAATTTACATGATATGAATGTGTCAGGCACACCCATCATGCCATGAAAGGTCACCCCATTTTTGACCTTGGCCAGAGACCTGATACATGGGATGCCCTTGTTGTGGTACAGATCCAGAAATGTCACTGTCACAGCTCTCTTGGGTATGTGGGCACAATCCCAGCCTGATCCTGCTCCTCTTTGTCTGGTTGCAGCTGCCCTATGAGAAGGACTGCAAGAATAAGCTGTTCTGTGTCGCTGAGCTACAGCTGACTACCACCCTCTCTCAGTGAGTTGGATCCAGCCGTCATTATTTCCTACTGTTAACTTCCTCCTGAAGGTTGGGCAATCCTCTCCTCAGGCTCTGTGGATACTCCCTTCCCCTTCTCCCTGTGGCCGACAAAAGGCCCTTCCACTTACTGTCTCATTATGTCCTCAGCCACTCCATGGGGGAGGCAAGACAGATTTATATTCCCATTTTATAGATTAGCAAACTGACTCAGGAGCCAAGAGCCCAGCAAAGGGTCACAGTGGCCATTTGGTGAACCTGAACCCAGGTTTCTTCATGTCCTGGACAATGCCATGTTCATAACTAGTGGTTCTTGTTTCTAGGACCAGAGATAACCGCTTTCCTGACTCACCTCTTGGCCAAATTAAGTAATTAATTCACCAAATATTTCTGAAGCATCTACACTGTGCTAAGCAATCTAGGGCTTCATAGGCCCTCATAAGAGCTTTTACTGTGAGCTGGGAGGTCAAAGCAGTAACATTTTAATAGGATCCTTCATGCTGCTGTGTTGAGAAGAGACTATAGGAGCAAGCAGGGAGGCAGCAGTGACTACCACGATAATGACTCAAGTGAGAGGTGATGGTGGCTCAGACCCAGGTCATGGCAATGAAGGTGGTTATATTTTGAAGTTAGAGTCCATAGGATTTGCTGACAGTGAATTTGGGGTGTCAGAAGGGTTGTAGCCTGAACATCTAGTACTGCACTAACACATTGGCCATTAGTCATGTTTGGCTGTTTAAATTTAAATTAATTGGGCGGTGCTTGTTGCTTAGTAGGTAGGGCACTGACCACATACACTGGAGCTGGTAGGTTTGAACCCAGCCTGGGCCAGCTAAAACAACAATGACAACCGCAACAACAACAACAACAACAAAAAATAGCTGGGCGTTGTGGGTCCCTGTAGTCCCAGCTACTTGGGAGGCTGAGGCAAAAGAATCACTTAAGCCCAAGAGTTTGAGGTTGCTGTGAGCAGTGACGTCACAGCACTCTATCTAGAGCGATAGCTTGAGACTCTTCTCTCCCCCTCCAAAATTAAATTTAATTAAAATTAAACGCAATTAAAAATTTAGTTGCTCAATCATATTTTAGAGGCTTAATACCCACATGTGCCTGGTGGTATTGGGCAGCACAGATACAGACTATTTCTATCACTGTGAAAGTTCTACTGGGCCACACTGAATTCTATTATAATGATGGGGTTGCCAAGAGCATGAGTTTGGTTTTGGATGTGATGGTCTTAAAATGCCCTGCCTGGCTACTAGTGCTGTGTTTGTATCAGGATACTGATGGCCAGTTGGCCAGAATTGGCATCTACAAGAACACTGTTTCCCAGGTCCTGGTAAGCCCTCTCATAGACATTTGAAGGAGCAATTCAAAACTTCCAAGTGCTTTGGAATCTAGCCTAACAAGCAGATGCAGCTGTTTCCAGCAGGAATCAATTGTAACCAAGAACTGCCCTCCCTGCAAGCTACTTGCAAAATACAGATACAGCGCACACAGCTTGCCCAACATCGCCACCTGGTGTTCATAACAAGCAATATCTTCCATTTCAAAAGTACCCCTGAGCCCGATTGTCAGCATTCAACTGTCTTGGTGGTTTTTGACCTTTCCGTGGACATGGATCCCCTGAAGAATGTCATAAAAACTACTACAAACTCCTACCCCTGAAAGTTCACATGTACATACATAAATGTTTGCATTCCAGAACCTCTGCAACTGTCCCTGGATGTCAGGTTAAGAAACCTTGTTAACTGTTCTGATGATGCTCAGATCACTCTCATGGGCTCTAGAACAGTATTTCTAACTGACATTTCAGTACCTCCACCTTGTTATGCTGTGGGCACCTCTCATGTCCCAGACTGAACTCAGCTTCTCCCATCCGTGGGTCTTCCTCCTGTGTTCTCTCCCTCAGCACCACTCAGCCATCCAAGTTAGAAACTCAGAACTCGTCCTTGACACCTTTCTCGCTCTCTCTCTCTAGCTCTGCTTGCCTTGCCACCTCTGATGTCTCTCCATCTCTACTCCGGTGGTCTTATTTCAGGCATGGGCCATCTCTCAGATGGATTCTCACAACAGGCTCTGTCTCTGCCTCCAATCAGTCCATTCTCTTCTCAACTGTGATAAAAACAAAACAATAACAGCAGAACACATTCCATCTTTGGATATTTCAGATGGTTAAAAAGTTTTCTTTGTATTGTTAGTATATTTTCCTAAAGATGTCAACTACAGGAACCACTGATAGTTGTTTTGCAGTCTGGGTCCCCTAATACCTCAGTGGTCTGAAGGAAGCTCTCACATATCCCCAAGTCTTCTCTTCTGCAGGCTGAATGGATTCAAGTCTTTTTTTTTGAGACAGAGCCTCAAGCTGTTCCCCTGGGTAGAGTGCCGTGGCATCACAGCTCACAGCA